TATTAGTGATAACGTTTTATCAGGGAGTTTCTACATATGCCGGATCCAAACATAGTATTGTCCCTATGCTAAATGCACGGAAAAATTTTTTAGCTATTTATTTTTATTAAATGTACTTATATTTAACATGATTTTTTGATATATTTAGATACATTATGATACAAATATTTGTAATAATACATTTAAAGTTTAAATAAGGAGACAGAATTTAAATAAATTTAAAAATTAATTTTGGCGCCAAAATCTTTGTACAGCAATAATAATAATAAAAATAATATCCTTTTTTATTTTACTCTTTGTTCTTATTTGCCTGATTTATTGTTGATTATTTTTTTAAATATGATAAATAAATAGTTGGGAGTTTTAAAAAATATTCTATTTTTTTTTTTAGCAATTATTTATTTTTTTTATTCACCATAATGTCTGCAAATAGTGCTATTAGTATGTTTGCGATATTTGATTATTTTAAATCAAATCCCAAACAACTAAAAAAGGGAGAACTTTCATTTAACGCTGGATACATTTGTAAAATAGTATACGACTCAGCCAATGGATTGATACAAGGTGAAGTAAAAGCAAGTATGAAATCAATCCAGTATAAAGTGAAAGTATGCAATATATTGTATTAATTATTATTAGGGCTCAGGACTTCTAGGAGTGCATGTTTTTAACTAATCATTAAAATCATAGCTAAGTAATACAGACATATGTTTCATGGCAATACAAGTTTAAATTTAAAATTTATAGTTGCATATTTTACATATTTGACCATTTTTTATTTTATAATAGCATATTTGACAATTATTTATGTGAATAAGTTTTTAATTCCCAACTTAAGAAAATATCTAATAGTTCAATGTAATACTCAAAGTAATAAGTACTAGGTATTTTAAAAATATACAAATATATTCAACTTGTTGTTTTTTAAAAAAATTTTATAATGTTTGTATTACATTTAAACAAGCTGAAAATATGAAAATAATTATCTCAGATAATTAATCAAATTTATCTATTTATGTATCGTATCCACAAATAGTATTATTATTTACTACAAATATTACTTTTTTTTAAATGCATATTTTAATAGCATATCAAGTGAATCTTTAGGGCATAAATGCATGCATATTTTAAGGTTTTTTAGGGCATGAAGTCCCTAGCCCTAATTATTATTATAGAACTTCTAAATTTTAATCATAGAAAACATTCTCTCATAGATATTTCTCAATGATGGAGTTATATGTGACAGTACGTGTACATGTCCTAGAGGATTGGTGATTTGTCATCATATGGCAGCTTTATGTTTGTTTGCTCATCATAATTGTAGTTCTACAGATAGTATTTGCTCTTGGAATGTGAGAAATAGTAATCTTGAAAATACTAAAACTATTAGTGATTTATATCCTGCTTGTTCATATAAAGCTACAATTTCTTTACCAAACAAAAACCAAAATAACTTTAAAAAAGCTTTAGAACAGTTAGGTACACCAATAGGTATGTCCTGGCTATTAAAACCTGAACCCAATGTTGAAGTGTTATTTCAACAATCACCAGTTGTATTAATTAATGATATAATTATATCAGATGAGTATAAATCATCAACAACAAAAACACAGCTTCTAGAAAATAAATTAAGTGTGTCTGATGAAATTATTTTAGAAGTAGCACAAGAAACAATTGGTCAGTCCAAAAACATTAAATGGATTACATATAAAAAGCACAGACTTACTTCAAGCATGTATGGAAATATACTTGCAGCATGCCATAAGAAAAAATATAATCCATCACTGTTTAAATCACTGAACAATGAATATATCACTACTGTTGTGCATGCTATTGAGTGGGGGCTTAATAATGAAGATGCAGCATTAAGTTTTCTCCAGAAAACTGAAAATGTGTTGATTCAAAAAACTGGATTATGGTTACATAAATGTGGATATCTTGGTGCATCCCCAGATGGACTTATAGGAGAAAATTGTGTAGTTGAGGTAAAATGCCCCTATAAATTCAGAAATAGTTTGCTATCAGAAGAAATAAGTAAAGACAAAACTTACATAATTTATAAAGAACATAATCAAATTCATGTAAACCAGAAACATAATTACTGGCACCAAGTTCAAGCACAACTATACTTTACCAGAAGACAAAAATGTATTTTTGTAGTTTGGACACCAAGAGAATCAATCATAGTTCATATATTTAAAGATAACCAATGGCAAAACAATATTGAAATACTTCAAAAGTTTTACTTTGAACAATATATTCCATACATTATATCAAATAAAATAATATAGCTTTATTCAAAATATTTTTTACAAATACCTAATTTTATACATTAAATAGTTCCTTCAGTTAATACTTTTAATTATTAAAAAAATAAATTTACATTTTATTTTGTATTTCTTTAATTAGTGGATACTGAAAATTAGTGAGCGATGCTACAACTTTAAAAACATAGTCAGCTTGGGATAACAGAGATGTAGGTATATGATCTAAAATTCTGTAACATTTTATTCTTTGAATAGCTCTCTCTACATGGATTCTAGCTTTAGCAATAGTTTCGGTAAGTAAAACTTGTTCTGGTGTGAACTGTGGAGTGTCCAGAAATGGAGGTATATTTAAGTATACATTTGGAGGTAAAATATCACGAATTAAAAATCCCTTGTCTGCGAGTATTAAATCACCTGGTTCCAATTGAGATAAAACACCACTTTTCAGTGTTATTGTTTTATCTGAAGTGGAACCTGGAAAAAAATCGCTTACAAATGTAACAACACCATTTGGTGCCACACCAATTAAGGTTTTCAATGTATGATAGTGTTTATAGCTACTAAAAGTGGCTTTTTGTGTAACCATAGACACTCTAGTAGTATCAGTTTTAATTTCTGTACAATCAAGAATAATTCTACAGTTAGTCAATGTGCTGAAGGAATTTGGTAGACATAGCTTATTTTTATTTTTTGATGGAATTTTAGACATAAATACTAAGAAAATGTTTTCATACAGAATATGGATCCAAGTCATAAAAATGTTTGTTATGGTTGCCTGACTACATTTAAATCGTTGGCCAAGATCTACATGTGGCAAATTAAGTCTTAGTTTCATTAAGGTAATCAACAATTGATCATGCATAGAAATATTTTCAACTTTCCATTTTAAATAATAATTTATCTCAATATTTTCACATATTACCATCAGTAAATCAAAGATTTTAGAATTGGGTAACCCAGTATATAACTTAATTAATTCATCATTACTTGAAATCAGTTCATAAGATAAGCACTCAGAAATTGAGGACATTTTTAATTTTAACTGTTCATTTTCTTTTCTTAGCAACAAAATTTCAGCTTCTAAGCATTTGTTGGTTTGACTAGACCTACAAATAGTAAGTATTTAACTTGTTAAACACAAAACATTTATTTATGCATAGTAATGGGTATCATACATTATAGATATAATATTTTATTAGACCAGTCCAAAAAAATAAACAATTTTGCTTTGATTCCAATCATTAGTGTTTGAAATATTAATTTATATTAGGTATTTGATATTTTGATATTTATTTAAAATTTAAATATAGGTATTTCAAAGGATTATAACTTGATAAAATATGTATATTGTATAGGTAATATACAATTTTGCTAATTAATTTAATAAATGGTCTTATAATATAATATTATATTTAGTATTTGTATTTATACATAAACATAATAGTTACTAACTGGAGGAGTTGATTCTTTAAATCAAGTATGTTTAATTCAACAATTTCTGATGTGGGTATATAATTTCTTCTGTGTTTGGGTAATTGTGCTACAAGTGCTAGTGCTAGTGCTAGGTCCATTGTCATCAGAATGGCAAGCAATTTTGGTTCTTTTTCTTTTTTCTGGTGATTGAAAATTAGAAAATGCATTTTTCCTATGATCTAATATTTCAGGACCATTTTTTTGTCTCCATTTCTGAAATGACAACTACAGATTCTAGCACCAGGTCCAGGTTCAACATCTCTTCTGTACACAAATAATTTTGTTGTTTATATACCTAATACTTATATACCTACTTGAAACTACTGAAAATTTACTACTTTACTACTTTGTTATAAAATATAAATGTTAACAAGAATTTTATAAAATATAAAATAAAGTTTTATACTTCACTAATTTAATCCATCTACGCCTCTCTTTAGTTTCAACAGGAAATTTAAAGAAACTACATTTGTGTTTTTGGTTATTATGAGTACAATTAAATGCCCAACACAGCATGACTAATGGTCAATTTTATTTAAAATAGTAATCACTAATAATACTATGTAAAGGTGCAACAAATAATTGCCTAATTTCATTTAATGTGCTCAAACTTTTTGTCCGGCTATAATATTATAATAATACTATAATATTATAATTATAACAAGGTTAGGTTAAATTATAACAGGGATGTATGTATAATATTTCCCGCCAAATTTGTTTTTCTGATTTATTTAAATTTCTGTACATATTTTAGAGAATCCAATATTTTAGATTTTTTATAATGACCTAATTTAACGTTTTTGACTAAGATACATAACTAAATCAAAATAGTTTTATTTAAAAAAAAATGTTTAGTTATAGACCCATGTATTAGATATAGGGACTTCGATTTGTTTGGATCCGGCTTATCTATAATCTCCTTGGATGACGTCACACTAATAAAGCGTAATGTATTTGAACTTCACATTTTGAAGTTCTTTGGCAAGGTGGAAATGTATTATTGTACATCCACCTTGGTCATCGGAGTCTCTTATCGTTATCAGTTATCAGTTATCACTCTATCTAGCAACACACTTTACTGTTTACAGTTTCACACTATATACTATATAGTAATAGTATATATGCACTAGAGCTCTACAGTCTACACCGAACAACATGTGATTGATATACTAAATATTGACCTCTTTATATATGATATTGACTACTAAAATACTAAATATTAATTAGTAATTAGTAGTTAGTACCTAGAAGTATAGAACCATGGACGCCGTCGACGCGCTGCTCAGTCAGAGCGTTTTGAAACCTGGTTTCCAAAAAAATTACAAGGTACCAGTAAACGAAAAGAGCTCAAAGATCATCAAAAGAATTAAAAAGGTAATCTAATTGTCTATGATCGTATGGACTTATTTCAGTTGTTTCGTTCGTTTAATAATTAATAATAGAATCGATAATTCGATCAAACGCTAGATTAAAAAAACTGAAATCAATAATGTATGTCATTAATTTTAAATACTGGCTTTAACATATCATCTTATTAATCGACTAGGTAAATAAATAATTACTCTTTATCGATTTCATTTTGTTTAATCACTGTATGGTTCTGTTTGTAATTGGTATAAATTTGTAATATTCTAGTATTTATTATGAGTTTTAGGGCCGCGCTTATAATGTCCGGCTAATGTTAATCGACTTTTAACCGGCCGAATTCTACTGGTAATAAAATCTGTTATCAGTCGGTTAGCGTTAACTTACACTTACCCAGACATTGTAAGAACGGCCCTTAGACTATTTGTAATTTCTATTTATGATAATCATGACGGGCTGTATCTAGGTAAAACCTAAAAAAAAAGAATAATTTTAATGTGTACTCTAATATTATTTTTTTCCTCCAAAAGCCTGTCATTTTTTGATCCTTCCACTAAATATTTTATAGAAATAGCACTGTATTAATATTTAAATTCTAGTGAAGCAAGTGTGGTAGTAATATGACATCAGCCAACATAGTACTATTAGTATCTGATTTTGAAATCTAATGTACTACAATTAATCTTTAAATAATGTATTCAATTAATGGCTAACAAATTTTAAGAAACCCAATCATTTAGAGTTGTATTTACATATGTAATTACTATTTATAAAAAAAATACTTTGTTATGTTTGAATTTAATAATTACATGACGTATATTCCATGTTTTTGTTTAGAAAGAAGAAGCAAAGACTAAAGGCAAAGGTTGGTTTAATTTGCCAGCAACTAAATTGACAGACAATATTCGACATGATCTTGACTTAATTCGTATGAGATCAGCACTAGATACTAAACGTTTTTATAAAAAGAATGAAACTGAAGCATATCCCAAATATTTCCAAGTAAATTTATAAAAAAATTTATCCAAGTGATTTTGTTCTAAAATGTATTTATGTTCTGTATTTTTAGGTTGGTACTGTTGTAGATTCACCATTAGAGTGTAAATCTGGCCGTCTCACTAACAAAGAACGGAAACGTACAATGGTTGATGAACTTTTAGCAGATGCCGAGTTCAAACAAACAACTAAAAAACGTTACAAGAATATATTAATGGCCAATCCTAAATTGGCATCTAAAATAAGAAAAGAAAATAGGAAAATGAATAAACTTAAAAAGAAAAGAAAATAATTATTTGTTTTAAAACATTTCTTTTTGTACATTTTAAATAATATAAATTTAAAATTTGATTAGTTTGTTATGTAATAATTTGTATTAAATAATTCACAGTAAGGAATTAAAAAGGTTATTTTTAACTATTACATTGTAAGGCCGTCGATTGGCAGTGTTGGGCAATCAATTAACTTAAATAGTTAAATTACAAGTTACTGTAACAAAATTAGGGTTAACAAAGTTTTAAATTATCGAATTTACTGACATACATTGATTTGTGTGATTTAGATGTACAGGTAATAAAATATGGTAACTTTTATCCGTAATGTCTATTATAAAATAACTAATTGACCATCATTTTTACATAAAGAACATTAGTTGATTTGATTGTAGCTGAGTTCAATGCTTGATATTAAAGATTGAACATCACATTAAATTTGTTTTTAACATTTATAAGTTTTAAATTTAAATTTTGAACAATGGAGTATACTAACATTGAATATGCAGAAAGAACATGTTTATGCCAAAGAGTTAAATAATAGAGATGAACTTTTATTGAGAACTAATAATATAGCTTGTATCATTCGTCAAACACCAAATTTGTTGGCAAAAACCTCATTACATCGTTGGATGGTAAAGTGCATCGAAGTTAATGGGAGTCACATACTCCCATTGAACAACTATAGATAAAAATAGGTTTTCAAAATAAAGTTTATTTAATTATGATTATTTTACAATATAACAACGTATATCAGTAAATTTGATGATTTAAAACTTTGTTAACCTTAATTTTGTTATTATTTTTCATTTTATCATTTTTATTGGTTGACCATATAAAATAGTACATTATTTAATTGTGTATGTTAAATGACAACAAATAAATATCACCACTGTTTATCTTGTAATGTTCCCTTACAAATTGATGTGCCATTCCATTTTTTTTTAATCTTTGATTTGAGCGTGAAAACCATGCGACAAGCAGAAGAAGGATGTGACACCACAATTCATATGTGAATTTTGTAAAATATACAACTTGACTATTTATTTTTACATTTAAGATAATGTTATTTTATTTGTATAAACCCAGATTTTGAAGATATATAAAAAATTTAAAAAAGTTCTTTATTGGGCCATCACACTGAGTACGCATATACTAGTTACCTCGTCCATTTCAGATACACCTTATATATATTTATCATATAAGTACTATTTTCTGAAAGTAGCTAACTTTTTTGTTATAGCTATTTGACAAAAAAGTTTTATTCTGATAAGTAATTAAAATATTAAATTAATATGGAAAATGTGTTGTAATTTAAAATTAATATAGAATAATCACAATATATGACATAATTATAGTTTTCTTTGATTCTTAAGTAATATATTTTGATAATATTGAATATTGATTGCCATTACTTAGTTAATGGCAGGCCCTATTTTTATGTGCACCACGACACACAATGTGCACTACGAATATATAAGTGTGCACTACGATTTGAACGTGTGTGCACTACGGTCTACAAAACAAAAATTGCCAAGTCAGGGATCGGCATGTAAACTTTCTTGATTTTGAATTTTTAGAAATTTGTTAACTGATTTAATCACACCCAATAAGCGGTATAACAATATGAATCCAGAAAAATGTCGGCGTGATCAGCCCCACAAAAAATCATTTTCATTTTAATTTAGTGAGATAGATCTCCGAAACCGGAGAGCGGATTTCGTTGATTTTGGTCTTGTTAGATTCACAATTGGTTAGGAGAAGTGCAGTGAAGATTTGCAGAACTTTATCTTTAATAGTTAATTCACTACAGAACATTAAAAAAAATTAAAACAAATTTTATTGGGCGTTTTTTTTATGTTTTTCATCTTTACAGCTTTGTAATGAATTAACGATTGGAGATAAAGTTCTGAAAATCTTCAATGCAATTCTCTTAGCAAATGTGAATTTAACAAGACCCCAAACAACAAAATCCGTTCTCCAGTTTCGGAGATCTACCTCGCTAAATGAAAATCTAGAGAAAATAACTCTTTTTTTCTTTTTTATCTGTGAAAAATTAAATAATTTAAAAAAAAAATTTAATTCCACATTTAATGTCTACCTACCTGATAATCCCTTTTTAATGAGTTATCAAACAACTTTCTAGCTAGGTATCATAGTTTAGGAGAAAAGTTAAAAAATAGAAATTTTGGGACTGTTCACTCGAATGTTTTTATGGATTCAAATTGGGTATACCGCTTGGGTGTGATATCAAATCTCTCTTATTAATATTTTATATTAAAGCTAGCTAAATTACCCACCTATTTATCATTACTGAGTTATATTTTTATTATTTTCCTATTTAACACACATTTTTGAAGTTTTCAAAGTTCAGACTTTTTTCATTTCAATTACCATACTTACTTGATGAAAAATCAAGAAAGTAATATGCATTGTTATGATGTCAATTATTAAAAAGTTAAGTTAAGGTTTTTATTATTATATTATGCTATTTAATTTTTATGATTTTTATTAAAAGATAAGTATTTAGTTGTTTTATTGAATTGCATTGTTAAATTATTATGGTATATAATATATATAATATATATATATGTAATATGTATTATGTAATACATTCCTTTTTCTAAGATGGTAGCGAGAATAAAATGAAATGTGCAGTCCGAAATTTTACAAATAATAGGGCCTGGTTAATGGCATAGATCATATATTATCTAGTTTCTCTACTTTTGAATCACATATTCACATTATTGTCGACTTGATACAAAAAAGCAATATTTAGTTGCACATAACAAA